ACCAGAACAACAAGAATAAGGGTAAGAAGGAAAAGAAGAGCAAGGGACAGCGCAAGGCCGACAACAAGAAGGAGAAGGATAAGAAGCAGAAGAAGGATAAGAAGACCAAGAAGGAAAAGAACAAGAAAGAGAAGAACAAGAAAGAGAAGGATAACAAGGACAAGGATGGTCCGGATGAGAAGGAGATCAGGAAACAGAAAATGCGAGAAGCCAAAAAGGCACTGCTTTTCATCATGTAGTACTGTGGTTGGTTCCCAAACTGTGCCTCCAGATGTCCCACGCAGGCAACGGACGCAGCTGGTCGCAAAATCAAGGATTCCATCACTGTCCTCAAGTATGCTGAACATTTGTCAGCGCCCCAAAAACCCTTTTTCGACAGATTCAACCGATCAAGTCTTCCCAACAGTCTCATCCTAACGATCGATCGATACCTGAGGAGTGCCAATCTCCGGAGTGCAGTGAAGACCGACATCCAGGCAAGAGGACGATCGATCTAGTCTATCAATCTTGCCCACAACAAAGCAAAACATAAATACGCATAGCATAAACAATAGTAGATCCAACACTGCAGAGTGAGTCCAGCACTTTTTTTTGTAGGAGGGTTTTCCTTGATTGGTTGCTTTCGTAGGCCGCAGTGAGAAACATGTCCTCGTCCCGTGCCAATTTGCAAGCCGCTCTGGATGCGGACCAGGCGCTGCTAGCAAGCATCGGTGGATCAGGGATCGATCATCTAATCAATCCGAGTCCTGAGATGGTCGTTCATCCAACCGATGGATACACCAAAAAACAATCAGGTCTGCACAGGTCATGTCATGAATATGATGCATGGTCCAGAATGTGTCATGGTCATCGATTATCAACCTGTCAAGGTTCCGGTGTATATATTATGACTCTGCGCATATTATATGGCTGTTTGCCTCCCCCGCTGCAGGCCGACAATGTCGAGCAGCTGACTTCGGGGCTGGTCACAGCAATGCAGGCCTTTGATCAAGCTGCCAAGCCTGCAAAGCAGGAAGGCAAAAAGCTTGCGTAAGTTCTCAGCTCATCTGAGCCTATTGAGCCTATGTTGGATTATGTTGGATTCCTCCCGGGGCAAAGTCACTGACTTTAGGGGTTTTGAGGAGTTCTTGTTCAGGCTGGCTGCCTTAGGGGCCCTCCTCGTGGGATGAAGCTAGTTTATCAACCAGCTACCACTTGATTATAAACCAGGCATGTCTTTGTAGTGAGGATGGGTCTGGCAGTGTTAGCTTGCCAAGCTTAGTTGCATCCTAGACGCTGAAGAAGGATCAGCGAGAAGTGCCATTTCATGGCTGGCAACCGCGCTTCGTGCCAAAAACGATGTGACCATGTGAGTGATTTCAGTACGTATATACCCTAGGAGTCCAAAGACTATTTTGACCGACTAAAGTAAAAGGAAGTTCCTTTTTGGGGCACCTAAAGACCCATACTGACCCATATATGCATACATAGTCTTTGACTTTTAGGGTATACATGTTCAGTACCAAATTCAGCTGCTTCAGAAAACTTGGTGAGTTGGTACACGCAAGCATGCCATGATCTCATGCATGGGCTCCTGAGCTCAATGCATGCTTGCTTTGAGCCACAGCCGAATTCACCTGTTCGCCAGATTCTGACACCGACAATGATCAAGATGCCATCGGTGAGGATATGATGAGCAGAGTAGCTGAGCAGGTGCTTGCTTCATATTTTTGGGGTTGAACAGTTGGTTGAAATAATTTTTGGGGTTTGGTTGGATTAGCAATTCTGTTCTTAAAGCTGCAGGTGCACAGCATCAATTCAGTACTATCTTCGGCAAAGGCGAGTTGTAAGGAGACACTCACGTGACAGTGTGCTGATTTTTTCTTGCATTGATAATTGATATTATATAATTCGCCGAGTACAATCCTGTGCAGGAATCCAAAGGGCACGTGTCTGAGAGTGTGACACGGCTTGGTAAAGTCAGTGCTTCTAACCGAGCACGTTCGTTTTGGACACACGTGCAATTGCCTATTGAACCACAGTTGCATTAAGAGTACTTGTTACATTTTGGGTCAACAGTTTTTTAATGTTGATCAAGTTAACTTAACGCTGCACTGGACCAGTGACAATGAGGAACCAGCTTGGATTGAGCTTCCGGTGCGCGACTTGGTGGAACCTACTCGGGTGACCAGCATGGAAGTGCCATACTTGGAGCCGCACAAGGTATTAAGCTTCATGAGTTCCATCCTGAAGACTCCAAGAAGTCATATTGATTTTTACTGGCGATGGGGCCAGCGGTTTGGTTGTCAATGGGCAAAGCTGGGGAATTCTGACATTATTCCTTGCGGAATGCATGCTGACGAGGCAAAGTATCGGGATGGCCCGCCGCAGGAGAAAATTTTGGCTATCACATTGAACTTTTGCTTGCATCGGCCGACTAGTATCAGGCACTCGAGATTCGTGATCTTCACGCTTCGCAGTTGCCTTAACATTGGGCCAACTACCATTTATCCACTTTTTTGGAAGCTTGTCGAGAGCTTTCATTATGCGTACATGGGCTTGAACCCAGACGGGTCGCAGCTTGCTGGTGGATCTCGGTTCCTGGTTACAGAGTTGAGAGGCGACCTGGACTGGTTCAAACAATGCTGGCAATTTGAGAAAAGGGGGTGGCAGGCACTGGATGTTTGTTTCTTTTGCAATGCCAAGAGCAAAGGCCGAACGTGTCAGTTTACTGAAACGGGCCCTCAAGCTGATTGGATTTCCACGGAGTTTACAAATACATGGGAGTGGGCAGCAAATGTTCTACCTGACCGACTTTGCACCTTTGACGATGAATTTTTTTGTGGCCGACTAATCGATATCATGTTTCACACTCGTACTCACTCAAGGATGTCATGCGCTGTCATATTAATTTGTTTTGCGGGAATTGCTAGAGTTTAGAGCTAATATATCACAATTTTCTGCCAAGGCCCATTGTTGGCATTGCCGGGCTTCTCGGTGGACACTCTGCGTTTGTGCTCAATGCACAACTTCTGCTTGGGACTACTGCAAACAGCAAATGGATCTTCCCTGCGCTTTGGCCTTTGCAGTCTAGTATGCTTTGGCTTCGGGGCTATGAGTTGTTGGCACAGTCCATGAAAAGGCTAGAGCTCGGAGGGTGTTTGTTTCAGAATTTGTGTTGGATTTATTCTTTCTGAGGATGAATTTAATTTCGAAGGGCTACTATGGGAATCCTAATGAACCCATCCAGCAGAACCTCACCAACGCCTACCATGACTTCAAAGCATGGTGCAAGCATCTCAAAATCTACACGGGCCAAAGGCCATTTTACCCTGGATTGGAACCTACGATGCATTCATGTGTTATTGCAGTGCGTTGTTGGTTTAGTTATTTCTCTTAATTGGTACGTTATATTGGCACAGTACTGCAGCGATCATGCAACATTGCGGGAACATAGCAAGGTCATCAAGGCCAACAACAACATCTCGATGACCCACAAGGCTTTTAACGGCCGAGTGCTTTGTGCCTACTTTGCGGATGTGTCCCGATGCGCGCTGGAAGGTAAATCTCCGCAGGGCCTGAACAGAGTCTTTGGGCGATGGCTTGGAGATCTTGCAGTGGCCCCTGCCAGAGTGGCAGACCCAAAGCTGCCACTTCAGGCTGCGGTGATGTGCCTGGGAGGATTAAACTTGTTGCAGTATGTTTGAAATAGATGGGGGATGGTTGTGTGGTGTCTCCTATTTTTTGAGGGTGAACTTTTCACGTGTCACTGACATAGTTTCGCTACCTGTCAACCGAGTAATTTTTTTGGCGTGATAAACTCATGATCCAGGTCTGCTGCTGAACGGTGGTGCGGGCTTTTAGAGCGAAGCGGACGGTATTTGAGACTTTGGCTGAAACTTCAGCGGACAGTATTTAACTCTTTGACAGTATTTGTGAAATCGAAGTTAGCAAAACTTGAATAATTTGGGGTTCCCCTCTGTGGCATCCCCCTGGAGTTTGTTGCCTTAAGCTGCGGATGTTTTTTTGGTTCACGAGGTCGCGGGAGGCATTTTGTGTGGGTCATCGAATGATCACGGCAATCCATTTGAGGCCGTGTTTGGCAATTGAAAAAATCAGAACGGCAGGTGTGAAGTAAATGTTTTTCCGTTCCACATGTTGTAAAGTTTTCACTGAAACCCGAAACCTTCCCGAATAGAAAAGCAACAATGACCGCGTGACCCTTTTTGCAGGGAACAGCAAGAACTGATAGCAGCTGGACAACAACCTGCGGTGCTCCAATGGATATTGAAACCCAAGTACCACAAATTCTTTCACCAATGCAGAACCATGGTGGCTACTCGCATGAATGCAAGACACCAACACTGCTATGTTGACGAAGATTCAATGCGCTACGTCAAGAAGCTAGCGCTGGCAGCCCCTTGTACAGGAAGCGGTGCAGAATTCGAGCGATTCATTTTGAGAATTTCACGTCTCCGAATGAAACTTGCCTCTAAGAGGAACTGTCAGCTGAACAAGTCAGCTGCAAAACGCTCCAGGAGATGAACACGAGTTGCTTACTTTGCTTGCACCTGCTGCAAAACAGAATCTTAGGGTTCTTGTGAACGGCCGTTTGTTTGGAGGATTTTTAGGGTCCTTGTGAACGGCCATATGTTTGGAGGTCCTTATTCCTCGACCTTAAAATCCGAGGTCCTCGGATGTGTAGGGTATATATTTATAACACTTATATAATTGGGCAGTCGCTAGTCTCCCTGGAGGGCGGGAGCACACTGAAGCCTTTAGCTGCTGTGCAGCTTGGGGGGGCCAACGTACGTAGCCTCAGCCCACCCGCGGATCCACAGTTCTCATGGACCAATTCCTGCATCACTGCATCACCCAAACCCGAAAAGACACCACAAGGTTTCAACTACCGCTTTCAACACGTACGCCCAGGACAACCCCTGCTAAACCGCTTGTTTCGGCTCCCCTTAACATGCAAACGGGTGCTCGTTGCCAGCCCTACATCGGACCGTCGGTATCAGGTCCCTGAGCACGGCACAGCGACCTTCACAGTGACCATGACCTGCATGAAAGCCACCCTCACGGCAGCCAACAATTATCGCTACATCTTGATTGGTGACTGCGCCTTGGAATGCTCAGATCGACGGAGGGTGAGGCACATGGTTCTTGTGAAGGGTCGCCCCACACGCGCTACCCCTCAGGTCGCTTCACGGCCGACCGGCAGGAGCGCCTGGCCTTCGCAGCCACCAATCCGGACCAGGACTACGACGACGAGGATGTCCCGCAGCATGACCCCTACGACACTTGGAGATGGAAGGACATGGGTGGCTAGAGTGGGATCTAGCAGCTAGGCTGGTGGCTGGATCTGATCTAAAATCTCCCTAGCAGATTTGCTGGAAGTAGATGATACAAGGATCTTTTTGAGAGGCCTAATTGTGTTCCACTCCTGTGACCCATGTGATTGTTTCAGATTGTTTCAGCGAGTCTCGATGGATTTAGGATGCTGCTCAGGATGAAGATGGATGAAGACTAGGAGGGGCTGGTGGATGTTGTTGTTGGATCATGTGGCTATCATTGGCCCAGATTGAATGGTCGTCGTGATGGGATTGAATGCCTGTGTAGGCCTGTTCATCATATGGGGCGTGCCTTGAATCGGCCCTTTTAACCAAGCTTTCCAATGGGGCCATCCATTGGCGTTCTTGAGGTGGCACCTTCTGTGGACGAAGAAGTGAAAGCACTGCCAGAGACTGGGACAGAGAGAGGTGAATACGTTTAAGTTATTTTAATTTGGTGCTTGGCCGACACCCAAGGCAAGCTTTGGCAAGCTCAGCCTTCCGATTCTTGTATCCAGTACGTGTTTGCAGTTAGGATTTTAGCTGCAAAGATCTGCAAAGTCTTACCCGGTCAGTTGGTTACCCGGTCGGCGTTCATGTAATTCTCATCCAGGCGACATGTGGGGAATGTTCCGTGCAAGGAATGTGCTGCCTTGTTCCGCTGGTATACAGTAATTGAACAAGTCCAAGTCACCCAAGTCGCGACACGATCGTCATGCGTTTTCATACTCTTCTTTTGCTTGGCCTTTGACCAGCAGTGCCTCTTGGCTTGATGAAAGAAGGTGGCAGACTGGTCGGACCGCGGTGAAGGACCGAGAGAAGCACCGGTTCCGGTGAATCCGCAAAAACCGGTCAGGAGATCGAGTTGGATGATGAACACGTGGTGGATGGCGACTCGGACGTGGAGGACGGTGCCACGGCCAAGGAAAAGAAAGAGCTCGCGACTGAGGCTGGAGCCCACCCAAGCTGGTGCCGTTTTCAAGGTTCTGGACTGCTATGGCTATGGTAGGGATGTAGACGGGCCAACACCCATGAAGGTAGTGGAGCAGAGTAGCCTCCAGATCTGAGCAATAAAGGACATTCTTCAGTTGCAGCTGAAGTCGGAGCGTTTTAGTCCACGTGGTCAGGTGCCCCCAGTGATGACAGCTGGCAAGAAGTTCAAGAGACGCACCGCGGTCGTGCCGACCCAGCCGTTGGCAGTGGAGCTTTAGCTTTGATATGCTTTGATATTTGAAGGGGTTATTTTCGTGTGTGGAGGGCGTGCCAGGATTGTTGCGGCACATTATTAATGTTGACGGAGAACATGAGTTGCTTACAAGGCTTCCAAGGATGCAGAAGGCAACTGATTCAAAGGGCGTGTTTAGGGTGCTCATTGGTGTTGCAAACCCGTTTTTGCCGTTGCCAAATTTGTTGAGACTACAATAGGATAAAACACATGTCACACACACATATATATATATACATATGATGGGACATTAGCAACGGCAAATCATCTCCAAAATTAATAGTATAACTCGTCTATAACACGTTCCTGCTCAGATCTATCCTTGTTGTTTTGGAACTTGTGACTTTGTTTATTGGAGATGCGTTTGCGATGTTACGTCGATTGAAATGTCCGCAACCTGGCCGTCCAAGGCCAGGCCCGGCACCGAACACTGTTACAATCCCCACAAGGTCACAAGGTGGTTCATATGGACCATATTGGACCCCTATACATATATACACGACATCTTTGGGTTTGTGCCATCTGCTCAATCCACTGTACCTTCAGGAACCGCAGCTGGATGTTTTGGCCACCATTGTGATCGACTGCACGGGTGACTGTATTTTGCCTCGACTGACGGTGGACAAGAAGGGCAACCCTGATGTTGAGGAGTTCCCAGCGCAGAACAAGGAGCTTTCAACTATTACCCCAAACAACATCCAAAAAAAAATCCATGTATGGCATATTATTGCATGGGGTGCTTTCAGGGGTCAATGATAAATATTCCAGTCCCACCGAGTGTTTGGGCGGTTGCAGGGTGCTGCAGGGTTCTCGACCGGCAACAATGGGTGCTGGTGTGCAAACGCTAAGACAAGACTGCCAAATGGTTCAGGAAAGTTGCATGGTTCCGACGCCGCAAACTTGGCTCTCGCAGGAGCAGGATGACATTGGCGCCTCAACTGAGCCTCCAGTCTTGAATGCCCCAGCCACTTGACTGCGCCAATGGGCAAGTCATATTGCTCCAGGACCAGGAGGAGATGTTTGGTTCGTCCAACACCTCGTGTGCAGCTGCAACTTTAAGAACGACTTGACCTTTCTTCAATTTGATACAATTTCATCCATTTTGGTCTCCAGCTGCCCGAGACTTTCGCCCAGGTCTTCAAGTTTATTTGGCCAGCGATGGCACAAGAGGGCCCACCCTCTGGAACAGGATCTGTGCAGGGTGGAGCACTCGGTGGCACACAGATACCAGGAATCACCTCATGCCAGGCTGGGTGGTGCGACCGTCCGAACCTCTTAGTTTGGAACGTGGGTGTTCCCACCCCCATCCAAACATGGCAGGGAAACGCAGTAGACACGCACTCAGTAGATCAATGTCAATCATTGCTGTTGTGGAGTGTGTCTTATATTGGTGTTTGTTTGAAATCACGCACGCCATATGACCAAATACGTAGTCTACGTCGTCCGTGTTACAGTGCTTTCAAGACAACAAGGCGAACCCGGCGAGTTCTCCCTTCGAGCGAACTTCAGCGATGACAGGTACGGCAGATCAGCCTCTCCAACCACAACGCCTCCAAAGTCACCTGCCGCTTCCGAACGGAGGGTCCCTATAGGATCCAGTTGATTCAGCAACCTGGGCATCATCCGGTGCAAGGTGGGGGGTCATTGATTTTTGAATTGGAGACCTCATCCCCCAGCAGGTCTCCTTGAACAAATGATCCCGTTGCCAGGTTCAAGCTCCAGCTCCTCCAAAAAAGGCAAAGAGGAGACGAATGAGATTAAGGGCAGGCAGGGCCCACGGCGCCTGTTCTGGCACCGTTTGTGAGTGTATGTGAATGTTGATCACTAGGATCTAGGATTTCCCCCGCTTCCAAAAACACCGACTGCGTTCTCAGTCTCTGGGACGGCGTTTTGAAAAAAATGCCACGCTGCTTCTCTGTCTCACCCGTCATCACTTCAATTGGGTGGGTTATGGTTGGACGGGTGAGGCTCTTTGTGCTGGCGAAGTGGGAGACCATCACACTGCATGTGGCCTTCAATCCTGAGCTGGTGGCTGCCTCCGAGTGGCATCACTACTACACCAGACACGAGCATGTGTGGCTCGGCGGCTTTCGACTTTCGGAAAAGTGGAAAAGTACGAAGGGGCTACAAAAGACAGAGCCTGTGGAAGAAATGCAAGTCGCACAAATTACAGTATATATTTACACAATAAAAGAGAAGAAATATAGTGAAAAGAAATATATGATACATTTAATATGCAAACCTTTTTTCCTAAACGGCACGGCACCCAGTTGATTTTTGAGCGAGGCGGTGAGACTCCAACGCGCCGTTCCGACGGAACCTTCGCGTCGGACCGTCCGAGGTTCAAGGGTGACGTGATCGTGGAATATCCCCGGGAGACCAGCGGGGAGAGTGAAACACACAAGGAGCGGCCGCGGGCTTTCTTCTGTTTTAAACCGCTCCAGAAAACCGAAACCAGCTGAAATCATCAAAAGCTAGGCTAGGCCGCCAAGCAACTTCAAAGATGTTGAAAGACTTTTGAACATATTGAACTGTCATCCTTTCAAGAAAGAAAGACCTATTCGCCCTGAGTCCCGTTTCGTGGCTTGGTCAGGACGATCTTCAGCGCATCCACCTCGTGGGCTCCGCGCGGCGCGCCGCCCTGCGGCTACACTTGGTGCCCTGCTTCGAGGGCCCAACGCCGCAAGACCCCGCGAGACCGCGCGCCGAGCGGCCGCCCTGGTCCGAGCCGATGCCGCTGATCGTGGAGTTCGGCCGCTGGTCCGAGGAGATGGAGAAGGAAATGAGTCAGGATGGATGTGAGTGTGGATGTGTGTTGAGCTAAGGGAGGCGAGTAGCTGGCCCAGTGGGTCTTTGCCAGTTCAACCGGCACTCTCACAACATGCCGGTTTAACCAGGCCCCAGGCCTTTCTACCTCGCCCATGTTTTACCAAAACGGATAAGTAGTCGCTCAAGTTTCACCATCATGGAGGCCCAGTGAGTCAAAGCACCAGTCTAACTGGTGCTTTAGTAACGCAGCAGTTTAGCCGGTGCTTTGGCAAAATGGGAACTGGAAGCTTGAAAAGGCCGTGAAAGACACGTGAAAAGGCCGTGAAAAGCATGTAACAATTAGTAAGTCTTGGAAGTTGGGAGGTGAACTGCTCCTTTACCCTAATGCACCAGTTTAACCTGTCCTTTGGACTTGCTAGGAGGTGATGGAGGGTACCCATATAATCATGCGTACATCTAGAGGGTGAAGCGTGGCCTTCGCTTCAACGTGCTTGTTAAACCTGTCCTTTTGGACTAACTGGGTGGAGTAGATGGGAGGAGGAGGAGGGGGTATTTGCAAAGAGGCACCTGCGACTTCCAGTGAAGCATTCCCCACAATACACTTTTACAGGCTGATTCCTAACCTCTTGCTTACATCATTGGCCAGAACTTGTCCAATGCGTCAACGGGAGCTCAGGCTACACCCACGTCACCAGCTCGGTGACACGGTACCGGACCATCCTGATCTCCAACATCACCAACATCCTCGCGAAGTGGTCTCTGGCGCATGTGGGCCGCAAGCGGAAACCCACACCCATCATCGGCGTCACGCTCCCCGAAGAGGAAGAGTTCCGGGCACTGGACGACAAGGCGCCGGTGAATGAGTCTCAGATGAGTTTCCTTTGGATGGTGACTGAGGTATTCCTAAATGTCTCAAATGTTTCTTTACAAAGAATACTAAGAGATCACGAATCAATTTCCACTTTCATCGACTTTATTTTGTTGCTCTTTTCACACGAGAAAGTTGGTAGAAGACCTGGATGATGCATGATGATGCATACTTTAGTCAGCCGGCATTTGTTGCAGGATGCCTTTGAGTTTGAGATCAGCGCGGGCGAGCTCCCAGGACCTTCGAAGGATGGCTTGGTGCCTGATTCAGAGGCCGGATGCCACGGGGCAGATGTTGAGAGAAATTGATTTAGTTGCCAGGAGCTACTAGTAGCGACGCCCTTGTTACTAGCGATGCCCTTGTTACTACTAGTAGCGATGCCCTAGGTTAGTACTAGCCAGCTTCTTTGCTAAAAGCCTTTCGAAGGCGTCGGTGGGTTCTAAAGGCCCGTGTTGATCTCTCCTTGTAACAGCATCAGTCAGTTGAGACCGCTGATCCCTCATTGTGAATCAGTAATTTTTGACGAGGGCATCGGTTGGGTTACAGACCGTGTTGATCTCTCGCAGGTCGATCCCCACTTCAGAGCTATTCACACGCAGACATATGCAGACAGACAAAGAGCCGCGCAAGACAAGTCCTACCACTGAATTAAAATCATGCCGAATGATGTTCAATGATGTTCATTTGGTACAAGACTACAAGATGGTACAAGTGAGATTGGGTGTCGAGTCTTTTGTTGGTTCTTATCCAGGTGAATCCAGGTGTTGGACACACCACCGATTTCAATGGACAATTCGCCACGGAGGAGCGCGTGCCCCACTGGTGTGCCAAGAGCTCGGCCGTGCCACGAGCACTGCCCTTCCCAGATGAGGAGTGGTTCGAGCCGCAGCAGGCGAGCCCACTAGCCTACGGAGACACCCACACAGGTTCTCCGTCGTTGTGTGCAGGGTCATCAGGATTCGAAATAACAACCGAAAGTGATCACGATAATCATAATGTATCCTATATATCATTAGCAGGATATATATATATATATATATTTACTTGCATGTCAATACTTTCCGTTTTTTGGCCTCCACGCCCTATGCAGTGTTTGAGCTCACTAAGGTGAAGATCGCCTTCCGGCCAAAGAAGAACGAGCTGTGCCTGGGCTAAGGGGAGCTGGCCAGGTGACGGACGTTTTCCACCGAAGACACACTGGGTGAAGGATGGAGAGAAGGATGGAGAAGGTGTTATCAGCCGTTTGCGACGACCACCTACTAGGTTTTCCACAGCCACTGCATGTGTGCTGCAGCTGAAATGGGTGGCCTATGGTGGCCTTGTGTTGCGCACCCACGACAAAACAAAGGACCCGCCCACAACGACCCTTTCGCATGCACGAGGTCTCGTGATGTTTATCGGGGTATTTCATTTGTGACGCCTGTTGCTTGAAGGTAGTGCCAAGAATTCCGAGGGTAAAAAGCATATGCACACATATATATATATATTTATATATATATTACATATATATACACGGTTCCATAAGTAACACAAACATGCCATCGACACTGGTCATCAACTGAACATATTATATTTTCTCCACATGGCGCCAGGTACAAGTGCCGTTTCCGTGTGCAAGTGGAGAACGGCTTAAGCGTGGACTTCATTTGTCGTGGTTGTGGGAGCTACGACGAAGAAGACGACAGCTTGGATTTCCATGAGGCGTAGGAACTGGATGCCCTTAAGTTATCAGTTTCAGGCTTTTTGTTTTGTATTTTATGATAATTCTAGGTGATATCATAGGTGGTTTGAGATGGTTTGTTGGTTGCAACTCTGTACTTAGGGTGTCACATGTGTGTAGTTGAGGATGTTGAGGCGAAGTCTCACCCAGAAAATGACACCATCTCAGCCTGCAAAACCGTAGGCATGAGTTGCGCGCAGCGCGGGCGTTTGCATGAGAAAAGGAGGCTGCCACCTGATATTATGAGACAGAAGTTGAGAAAGATCATTCAAGTCAGGAATATATAGTCAGCCTTAGAGCTTGACTGTCAGGAAGAACTGGAACGGCAAACTTGCAACCATTTCATCTCAAGACCCGTGAACAGCAGCTGAACAATTGCTGCTTCAATGAAGTTCGCCTTGGTCTTGCTCTCAATTGGGCCTGTTTGGTCAACTCGACTCCAGAGTCGAGGTCGGTGGCTTTGCCCGGAAGAGGCTTCGACCTGCCACTGCGAATGCCCACGCACCGCCGGTGCCGGCGGTCTCTTCACTCAGCTTGAGGCGAAGCCGGCCCAGGTCGAGGTCGAAGAGGTGTTACCACCGCGGCCTCCACCTCCACTGCCACCCATGCCACCAGGCAAACTACCTCCCATGCCCAGCTACACCAAGATGACCGAAGATGATTTGCCAACCCTGGGCCCTCCACCAGCCACGACCACATTGTCAACGACCCTACCACTGCCTGCGGGTCACTTTCCAGCGATGATGATGAACGGCCGCCTGGTGCCAGCTACCGATGAAGAGGAACATTACTATCAATACTTTCCAGGCGCCCGACCCTTGAAACTAGCTCCTAGAAGATGCCAGACGAGAAAAATCACAACATGCTAACTCATGTTTTAGCAACGCCGACACGTTCACCTCCCAAGCAGTTTTGATACATTTTGATACGATATAGTGTATACTGTAAATTTTGATCTTGTGTTCTCATGGGATGCTTTCGTGTGCGGATGCTGTCGTGTGCGGATGCGCCTCCTTGTGGCCTCATGGGCCTTTGATCTGTGCGCAGAATCGCCTCTCTTCCGGGGATGTCTCGGGGCAGAATCGCACGCCTTTCGGGTGGAAATGCCTGTTCCTGTTCACATGCTCCTGCCCGCGCATGTTCGCGATCAGGCCTTGGCTACTTCAAGTTCAAGAGTCTCTTGGAATATTGGTTGCCATGCGAACGCAACGGCGTTCAACGGCTGGTGTTTTCAGACGTTTTCACCACCACCCTCAAACAACATTGACCAACCCCATGCGCCCTTCAGAGGGCACGGATACCTAGAGCTTCTCCAGTAATTATATAATCGAAAACACGGCGGCCGTAAGTATGGAGGGGTGTCCGAGATGCGTTTCTTTAATTGGATACGCTGCGCTTCTTCAAATAATGTACAGTAAACTACTCGCGATTTGGAACATCCAACCGTGAAAAGGGATACCCCCCAATCGTCTCGCGGCCTCTCCCGACCCGAGGTCCCAGCGGCCCAAGCGCCAAGATCGTGGCGCCGAGCCTGACCAAGCGTTGGAGCACACCGAAGTTCCTGTGCACTTGCACGTGCCCTGCCCAAGGATCGGTCTTTCCAAGCTGGGTACGGCGAAACGGGCGAGGTAGGCAGACGGCAGACCCGTGGAATCGCCCGCCTGGGATGGGCGAAAGGTTCTGGCAAGTGTTCGCTGTTCTGATCGGGGTGTGGAACTCCAGGGCCACAAGCCAATACAAGACAATGAAGGATGATGAGATCTGAATGAGTTGGAAGAAGACAGGACGTTGCCCAACCAGCACACAGTTCTCCCAATGGAGAGTCACACACTCTGATGGCACTTGGCCCACCGAACAAACTGATGGAAACGGGCTCCCCATCCTACCGGAGAGCAGAGCTTTCAACGTGTGGATGCCATGAATGTGTAAAGCGTTCGATGCGTTTGGAAACCTCGCATTGTTTAATTAGTAAACCTCGCTGGATGCCATCAACTGCTGGGTTGAGACATGGTTTTGCTCAATGGCATTTGACAAAAGCACCAACTGCATGGCATTACAAAGGCGTACTGTGAAGGCCGATTGATTGTGAAGCCGTATGCGTAAGAACCCTTTAGCTAAAAAAGGGTATTGGGAACGTGGAATGTAAACGTTGTGGGATGTGCTCAATTTTTGCAGCTGGTGATTGTTCAAGGTTACTGTGGTTGTGTGTGTATTTTCCTCCAAGCACTCCCCGAGGCATGCTTGGAACTTCAATGGCATCGCGTGTTCAAATTTTTGCTGCACTTCGGCCACTTGGGCTCGCAGGTGTGTTGGGCGATATGCACAGTATTCAGATGTATTCACGGGTGTTTCGAGGGGAGAAGAGAGAGAAAGAGTCATTAGCCATGTCATCAGCCATGTCATCAGCCATCTTTGTATCCGACTTCACCGAGGTGGGCGATCCAGCTCGCCCGTGCACGAACTGTCAAGGCGACCTTTGGGGCACTTGCCTTCCACCAGGTCCTGGCCCTCCAGGTACTCAGCTCGTGTCCATCAAGGACCCCACGATGCGCACGATACGCGTTGTTTGTTGTTTGAATTGGCCAAAAGGATTTCAAAGGCCCCAGCACAGGGCACAGTCTGGCACTGGTCGAATATCCTGGCAGTTCATCTCACCAAAAATCTCGAGGATTCGGAATGCTTTTCGGGTGACGTAGGAGCAGCCACGGAGCTTGAGAGGCGACAGCTGCCCCTGTGACTAAGACGGCGAAACTCGCGAAAAGGCCGTCGGACCGGAAGTGGCGCCAGGTAAGCTTGGGCATTGTCCTCACAATTTCATGTATGGAAATGTGAAATGTGTTTCTAACTTTTGTCTAAATGTCAGACATGTCATGACATGTCCTGAAAAGCTCTTAGAGGTCAAACAGCTGCATGGCAAATCGTAGAAAAGAATTCTATTTTTGCAATGTGAAGCTTTAAGTATCACTTGGTGCTTCTACTTTCTTTAGCCTAGATAACCCATCTCATCGGATATTCTATGGCGGTTTTCGGGTCAGGACGTGGGGCACATGCCACCAATGCGGGGCAACCTTCAGTAGACGGGCACCTGATCAGGACCACCCAAGTTCCTTGCGAAAGGCAGATGGAATGGAACACAATGTCACAAAGGCAAAACATGCTTGAAAATGCAAAATCATGGCAAACTGATCGATTGCAGAGTTTTGACGCTCCACAAACCAAGCCAAAACGAGTCTCATTCAGAACCTGCGTCGCCACTTCTCGCGCCCGGGCCGCTGCGGCGATGGCACCATTGAGGGGCCGAAGGAAGAAGGCTGTGAAGGGGAGAGGGCCGTTCTGATCACAGGGGGTGGAGGTATGGCTTGATGGCGAGACTCCTTGTGATGCGCATTGGTTTTCCATTGCATCCTATAAAAACTAGCCCTACCGTCATCATCATTGGCATCACCAGCAGCATCATCAGCATCCTCCTGCTCACCCCACCCGGTTCTAGCAAACCTGGCCCAATGGCTCGCTACTCCCAGGACTATGATGTGGTCGTGCAGGGTCAGTCGGCTGAGAAGGTGGCTTCAGAAATTGCTGGATCCTCAGGCGAAGGTCATGGGAAGCGGCGGGTGGAGGTGTGTTTGGCACAGTCCGATACAGTATATCCAATGATTGGGTTTGGGTAGGGATGCGTAGTCCTTGGATGTCCTCAACACGAGCCCAGTCACTGCTGCCTGGGACTGTCTTCATGGTTCTGGGCATGGGGGTTTCACTCCAGGCTCTCGCCTGATCAGCGCAGCATAGCACAGCTCTTCTCTAAGAGAACGTGCACCAAGAGTAGCCGTCCCATGTCAGGTGCTGTCAGGTGTGTTGAAGGAAGACCTGAGTACTTGGAGACCGTCAAGAGTAACGCGCCTCGCTGCCTCGCTCGACTCAGGCTGCTCACCTTACAGCCAAGGGGTTTTGCACCGTCGACCCACGACTCGACGACGATCTGCTTCGGCAGGGGCGTGAGGACCGAGGGTGGAGTTGGTGTTTGGAGCGCTCAGGTGCCGGCACACCTGAAAGCTGGATCTAGTATGATCTAGTTCTATATTGGATTTGAATGGATTTCATCTATATACAAACTTTGAATCTAACAACAGCCAACAGCGCAAAAGCATTTGCAACTCATTGGCTCAAATCGCCACCTTTGGGCTTTTGGACATTGGCATTTGGAAGACAGAAACACTGAAGGCCTGCCAAGGCATTCCACTAATGCACTCGGAGAAACTTCTTACGCGGTGGGCGGTGGGTTTCACAGACTATGCACTGCCGGGGCTAAGTTGGATGCAATTTGATGCCGATTGGAAGCGCGCATTAGAGTCTAGCTAGAGCCCAATAAGGGGAAATACTGCGGCGCTTGTTCAAGAATGCTGTAGCGACGGGTCAGTTTTGGACACTTGGTCACGCCCCAGAAAATGTGAAGTCGCGCGTTTAGTCCACCGTCCGATCCTTGCGACGGCTGTGATATGCGCTCATTTGCAGAGCACTAACTACAGAACTGTAACCTAAAGGCTGTTGATGAAAAAACCTCCCTTGCCACCCAGTGGAAGCTGACGGCATTGCTCGTTTCTGAGACTTCGCGAGCCGCGGGAGGTAGAAGAGGTTTTGCAGTCCAAATGCTGGGGAGGTCATTCATCAAGTTTCTCCATTATATAATACAATTACTGTAATTGGCCAAGGCGCGGAAAGGCTACACCACGGCTGAAGCCCATAACAAGCCACGCCCTTCAGGACATTAGCCAAGCAGATGCCCAAGGTGCGCTAAAGCAGCCGCCAGCAATGGTGACTTGGTCGCAATGGAAATGGTGATTGACATTGATTGACAACCTCATATGCCAAGCAAAGGTTGGCAAAGCGGGGTCGGGGTTAACCTAGCAAGTCTCATCTATGTTCAAAAGGACTCCCCAATACCAACGTATTTTGAGGGAATTGGGGACAGCCTATTGCGCATACTTGCGCAATGGTTGCCGACCAGTTTTGCGGTAACCTCCAA